ACACCCGGCCAGGTTTATTGCCCTCAAGGCATAGTCCTAGCACCCTGGCTCTGAGCCAAATGAACAAATAAGCTTATGAAATTCCTTTCGCAGGAGGTAATATCCCAAGAAATCCATACTGATTAAGGACCTAACTTCACTTAAAAAATAATTAAAGAATTGTGTGATCTACTGAGGGTAAAGGGATTAAGAACGTCGATCTACCATCCACAAACTGATGGGTTGGTAGAACGATTTCACAGAACTTTGCTGGTGATATTAAAGAAATTTGTAGCCTCAGATCTCACACATTGGGACCAACTCTTCCCTTGCCTTCTTTTTGCTATCAGGAATGTGCCTCAAGCCTCCAAGTTTTCTCCCTTTGAACTGCTATATGGGAAACAGCCCCAAGGCATTTCAGACCTCCTTGGAGAAACATGGAAGGGCAAAGACACCAGGCAATGAACATAGTCCAATACATTCTTCAGTTAAGAAATGGCCTCAAGACTTTGCTGGCAGTTGTTAAAAGAATTTTTCTAAATGCACAACAGGTGCAGATTTCAGAGTCGCAGCCGTGCTAGTCTGTATCCTCAAAAAGAACAGGAGCACAGGTACTCCTGTTTTTCTTAACAGGTACAGAGAAGGCTGATAACAAAGGGGTCCAGTGTGAGTGTGCAAACTCAGTGATTGAATATTATTGTTACTACCAAGTTTTCTGTTCAAGTAACCGGTACAATGGCAGGGACCATTTGAGATAGTGAGGTTTTTATTATCTGTGCTGCTATGATCAATTGAAAACGGTTTTTGGTCCAGTATCATGTGGCAGCAGTCCCAAACAGTGCATAGGGCAGTACATTACACACAGAAATGACAGCCTTTGCCAGTTGCTAGGCTGAACAGTCTGCAAGGCTCAGTTTGCCCTGACAATCTGAACGCCTGTTATCAGCGAATCATTTCTTTGCTCTCGGGGGACAGTCTCAGGCTGTATTTCTCCAGGATCTATTTTCTGCTCTTCCAGGTGCTCACAGAGCTGAGGGAATTGTCTTGGAGCCCTGGCCAACCTGAGAGTCTGCAGAGACTATTCAGGGGAATCATAAAGGTCGCTGTCCAGTACGGCGAGTGTCAGACGTCTGAGATTCATACACTGATTCTCAGGGCTCTGCCTTCCTGTCTCCATAAGGAGATTTCCTATCTGCGCTGAGTGGGATTTCGGTGAGTTGCCTGTTTCTACGATAAAGTTCATGCTGAGGGCTCAGGAAGGGTTCCAGGGTTCAAGTCAAGAACTATCTGGGCAGGAATTCTCCCGCACAGTGACTTGAACTGTTTAGTATTGTCAGAAACACCAAGGGATTTACCTGGGTGAAAGTGGAACTACCAATGTATTGGAAACCGTTTAGACAAATATTTGTTTTTCAGATCTGTTCCTTGTCTCTTACTGTGTCCTTCTAGCTGTCTTAGTAGCTTCCTTTTTTGGGGCAGTGTGTTTTTTTCCTCTGGTTAGCTCACATTTTCCAATTCAGCAACTTCACTGCCCTGTTTAGAAGTGCAACCAAAATCTCTGAAGTAGGTAACTCTCTTACCAGGGGGTTCACAACAAGAATGGGTCACACAGAGGCCAGATTCTGCTCTCACATTCTGCCTTCAGTGGGTGACTCCAGACGAAAACTGGCCTCCCTGAGACCAAATCACGTCCCCAGTGCTTTGAAATCCCTGTCCTTCATGCCCACTCTCCGGATGACACATAAACTGGGGGTTTCCTTTAGACTCTTTCAGCACCCTAAGAGAATACCGCTCTCTGTAACTGGACGTAAAGCTGTGACTTTTGCAGAGGGAAGTCAAAAGTTAAACACAAAGGGTGAATCTGGTCCCATTGAGTTCAATGGCAAAACTCCCAACAGGGCCAGGAGTTCACCCTGAATCCACAAGCAGGTACTTAAATGAATGGCCTGATTTACACCGGTCATGAGAGTCCAGTGACTTCAACTGGGTTCGTCCTGTGGCCTCTAAGGATGGTGATCTCATTTGGATCAAAGAAGAACTGACAGGACTGTTGCTGAAATCTCAAATTCAAAGGCTTAGAGGTTCAGAACAATTGGCATAACAAGCGTTTTGCAGGGGAGAGGGGGGTCTGCTGTCTCTGAGCCCCTATGGCTCTGCTTCTGGAGAGGATGAGAAGCACCAAAAGGCAGTAAAAATAAAACCATGTTTCTGGCTTAGAGGAAACCAGGCGGTGTTGGAAATCTCAAAGGGAGGTCCAGGAATGCAGTGTCTGTGAGTGTGAGAGGAAGAGGGGACGAGCAGATCACAGTGACACAGAGTCCTGAAACCAAGTGAAATAGGGAATGAACATACGCTTCTTTGGTCTGTGCATTAGGCAGGAATGAGGCCTCCTGGGGCAGAGGGTGTCTCAGAATGTAACGTAACGTGAACCATACTGTAGCAGATGGTCTCTGACACCTTCCCCCATCCGGACCATCTCTCGTCCTATGAGCAACCCCACGACGGCCTTGTGGTAATGTCAGCAATTGCCAACATGGAAGAGCAGCCTCAGGAAGAGGTGTCTCGGTTTCTAGCGGGCTGCAATATGTTAAAGCTTTGTGTCGTTTTGAGGCAGAGTTACTCATGCTGGCTCCTTTTAGTCCCCACGTCCTCTCTCCCTCCTGACGGGTCTGTCCCTCTCTCCTTCCCTGCACAGGCTGAGCACTTCTGGGGTTCCCTTCACCCCGGAGAGGCTGATCTCCCCCTTTTCCCCAGTGCAGGCAGACACTGAATTTAACCTAGTCTGAGGAGATAGTTCTGTGGCTGTCGCTGTGGGGTCTGGCACCTGGTTTAGGTCGTGAATGAGGGGCATAATTGTGTGTCAGGGCTGGAGTTTCTAAGGTTGGGGACATACATGGACAGGCAGGCAGCACTGGTGGTTGTGGGGGCAGGGAGTGGGGTGTAAACGGACAGGCGGACAGAGCTGCTGAAAGTCAAATTTTCTTTGTGATTTTTCCCATTTCGTCAGTGGAAAGAACCATTGATCTTTCCTGCTCAGATGGTTCAATCTTCCATTATACTCTGAGCCCCTGTCAGTTCTCTCCTTCCCCATCCCAGGCTGCCCCCATTCCAACAGCACCCTGATTGCCAGTGTCTTCTCCATGCTCCCCAGTCATCCCTGGCTCCCACCACCTCCGAGGCGCCCTACGCTCCCCAAAATTCTTCCTCTGCAGGAGGTGAGGTGCCTCCCATCACACCTGCTCCCTTGGCTGGGGGAGATCAGTGACGGTGTCTCACCGGTGAAAAATCTCCCACACCAGTGGTAAATGTCAAGACACCTGTGCGGCTGCTCTTTGCGCATCCAGAGACACCCCGTGTAGCTTTGGGAACTGCTAAACAGGAACAACTCGCAAGCTGAGAAGTATGCACATAATGAGAGCGGGCAGCTCTGGGACATGTGAGTGCCGAGAGAAATGCAGCTGCCATGTGCAGGAGCCACTGGTATCTGCCTGAAACAGTGGGCCACTGGGACACAGCTGTTAAACCGTGGATGCTCTGGGACCATTTGTCAGCCAGCTCTGCTAGCCATTCATGGTGAGAGTTGTACAATTTTTTATGGAGTCAAGTCGTTATCATTCTCATCTGAAACGTTCGTCCATGCAGAGCCTCACAGGATCCCTCAGCCTCGTAACATACACACGTCGTGTACCATGTCCAAGGCACGGCAGTCACAGGAGAATTTCTCCCCATAGGGCTAAATTCCCCACAGTCATGAAAGGAAAAAATGCCTCCAGTAGCTTCAGGCAGGAGCTTGCAGGCAAAATGCCTCCAGCTGACTCCTGGGGATGTGTTTGTCGATTCCAAAGCCAGAAGAGACCACTGTGATCATCTGGTCTGTATAACACAGGCCTGAGAATTTCCCCCAAACTATTCCCAGAGCAGATCTTTTAGAGAAACTTACAACCTTGATTTAAAAATTCTCAGTCATGGAGGATCCACCATGACCCTTGGTAAATTGTTCTAATGGTGATTTAATCTCGCCGTTTAACAAATGTACACTTTATTTAACTTCCAGCCATGGCATCATGTTACACCTCTGTATGCTAGTCTGAAAAGCCTATTATTAAACACTGGTTCCCCGTGTAGGTACTTACAGATGGTTATGAACTCACCCCTTAACCATCTTTGTTAAAGAAAATAGATTGAACTCTTTGAGTCTATCAATGTAAGGCAGGTTTTCTAATCTTTTAATTATACTTGTGACTCTTCTCTGAACCCTCTTCAGTGTATCAACATTTTAACCATGGAAACAAGAACTGGACACAGGATTCCAGCAGGAGTCGCACCAATGCCAGTGACAGAGGTAAAATAACTTCTCTAAGTCTCCTTGAGATTCCCCTTGTTATGATCCAAGAATCACATTGTCTCTTTTGGCCACAGGGTCACACTGGAAACTCAGGTTTAGCTAATTATCCCTTCACCCCCCTCAAAAATTGTGTTCACTCATTCCGCTTCCCATGAAATTCCCCCATGGTGTAACCATCGCCTGCATTCCTTCTTCCTAGATGTAGATCTCTACATAGTGATATTAGAACACATTTTGGTTTCTTCGACCCAGTTTACCAACCAATTCAGACGGCTCTGAATCAGTGAACTGTCATGGTCATTATGAACTATCCCCCAATTTTTGTGTCATCTGCAAACTTCATCAATATTCAGGCATGAGAAGGGATAGCAGCTGAGTTGCTGACACGTCTCTCTCCTTCCACTTCTCAGTTAACACCTGTAACTTACCTCTCAGACGAAGCTTAGCTTGGTTTACGACCTGTGAGGATTTCTCTGCACTTGGCTCTGACCTTAATAATCTGGTGCCATCTGTAAATTTTGCCACCTCACTGCTCATCCCCTTTTCTAGATTGTTAATAACTATAAAATATTAACCGTACTATTTGTTATAAAGTCTGTAACCCGCCTCACTGTGCTTCTCTCCCTTCTCAGGAACCTTGAGCATTTCTGAGCCTGATCAAAGTATCAACTACCTCATGGCAGCTTTCAACCTCACCCTGTCTGACCCTTCAATATTCAACCTAACAGGAATCCCTGGCTTGGAAGCTACCCACTTCTGGATTTCTATCTCTTTCTCTATGTTCTACATTATCAGCCTGTTGGGAAATGTCACAGTTCTATCTGTTGTAGGCAAGGAGCAGAGCCTGCACAAGCCTATTTACCTGCTGCTCTGCATGTTGGCGCTCACAGACATTGGCATCTCTACCTCTGTTATACAGAAGTCACTGTGTATATTTTTGTTCAATTTGAAAGGAATTACTGTGGATGGCTGTCTCACCCAGATGTTCTTCCTTTATGCAGTTTCTGTTATGAAGTCAGCTGTCCTTGTGATAATGGCCTTCGATTGCTACATTGCCATCTGTAACCCTCTGAGATACACCACCATCCTCACCAACACACGAATAGCTAAGCTAGGGCTAGTGGGTTTGATAAGAGCTGTTCTCTTCATTCTGCCCCTGCCCCTGCTTCTGAAGAGGCAGCCTTTCTGCACCAGCTGCATTATCCCCCACACATACTGTGACCACATAGCTGTGGCGAAGATATCTTGTGGGGACATCACAGTCAACAGGACGTATGGTTTGGTGATAACATTTGTAGTCATCGGGTTAGACCTGATGCTCATTGCCCTGTCCTGCAGTTTGGTCATCAGGGCTGTTCTCAGAATCTCCTCCAAGAAAGCCCATCAGAAAGCTCTCAACACCTGCACAGCCCACATCTGTGTGATACTGACGTCTTATGCTTCCTGCCTCTTCTCTAACCTGACACACCGATTCAGTCAGGGCATCGCTTCCAACGTGCACATCATCTTGGCCAACCTCTATTTCCTCATCCCCCCCATGCTCAACCCTATTATTTATGGGGTCAAAACAAAAGAGCTTCGTGACAAAGTGGGCAAATACATCTGCAGAGTATGATTTCCTGGGGCCACTGACTTTAAACGTGTGTGACAAAAGGGGGAAAGAATATCTCTACAGTCATCAAGTGTGCTCTGTCTCAGTTTGTCTGAGCTCAGCACTTTTGAAGTTCATAGTCTGAGTACTTCCTCACACCTGATGTCTTACCACTTTCAGACCAAGCACTGCTCTCTCCATTGCTGAGTTCGCTCTCTCTGACCATTCCCTGAACTCTTTGAGCAGCACCTGTCCGCCTCCACCCCCACACACCTTGTCATTTGGCCTTTCCATGACTTCCAGACCACCAGAAGATACTGCAGCTTTCTGACGGAAGGTGGCTTTCCATTAGCCTCTGTGTGAATAGGTTCTGGATCAGTTCGTCTAAATGAAAGCTATGCTTTCTGATCACCAAAGACAAAGAAAGCAGCTACAATGCTGAAATTCTTTAACATATATGCAATCATCCGATGAACAAAATATACCTGATTTTTCTACTTCCAATTCTTCAGGAGGCCTGGAGGATAAACAAAAAGTCTCAATTGATAAGGCTAATAGAGGAAAGCTGCTGCAGGATTGGAGGATTTTCTACTCGAGCTTGTTGGTGAGAGTTATGAAACTTTGTATTTTTGAGAACAGGACTGCTGTGTTTAACTATGACATCACCTTTCAGTCAAATAACGTACCTCTTTGCACACTTCATTTTGGAGTCACTTTTCATCTGGAACTTTCAAAACACACACTAACCGTTCTCATTGTTGAAGATGTCAAAAGGAAGTGTCGAGATTTCATGTTGGACTTATGAAACAGGTGAAATAGAGATTGCAGCCAAATGTCCAGTTGATTGAATCGCTTGCAGTACTACGTCCTTCTACTGCGCTCAGCCCTTCACAGCCTAGGTTGGCTGAGATCTCACTTTTGCCATTGTTTTCTGGAGACCTTGGACAGTTCGATCAGCAGTGGAGAGTTTTGCTACTGGAGATGCACTAGCCGCATACTCAGGTCTGTCAAGTTGAGCAGTTTTGGGTTGAAGTTCTCCAACAGATGGATGCCGCTGAGGACAAAGGCTTTAGTGAACTTGACTCATTTGCATTTCCACTGCTGTGGCTACCTTTTAGCAATGCTGCCGCTGAAAGATTCCTTTTTATCAAGTTCATCTAAGAAAACAAACGGCACAACAAGACGCAAGAGGAACTTTTAGAAAACGTTCCCCATATGAGGGCTGTCAAGGTTCCTTCCCCACTCTGAACTCTAGGGTACAGATGTGGGGACCTGCATGAAAACCTCCTAAGCTTACTTTTACCAGCTTAGGTTAAAACTTCCCCAAGGTACAAACTATTTTACCCTTTGCCCCTAGACTTCCACTGCCACCACCAAACTTTATCTGGGTTCCTGAAAAAACATAGTTTGGACACGTCTTTCCCCCCAAAATCCTCCCAACCCTTGCACCCCACTTCCTGGGGAAGGTTTGGTAAAAATCCTCACCAATTTGCATAGGTGACCACAGACCCAAACCCTTGGATCTTAGAACAATGAAAAAGCATTCAGTTTTCTTACAAGAAGACTTTTAATAGAAGTAAAAAGAAAGGAATCACCTCTGTAAAATCAGGATGGTAGATACCTTACAGGGTAATTCGATTCAAAACATAGAGAATCCCTCTAGGCAAAACCTTAAGTTACAAAAAAGACACACAGACAGGAATAGTCATTCTATTCAGTACAGCTATTTTCTTAGCCATTTAAAGAAATCATAATCTAACACATACCTAGCTAGATTATTTACTAAGTTCTAAGACTCCATTCCTGTTCTGTCCCCGGCAAATGCATCACACAGACAGACACAGACCCTTTGTTTTTCTCCCTCCTCCCAGCTTTTGAAAGTATCTTGTCTCCTCATTGGTCATTTTGGTCAGGTGCCAGCGAGGTTACCTTTAGCTTCTTAACCCTTTACAGGTGAAAGGATTTTTCCTCTGGCCAGGAGGGATTTTAAAGGGGTTTGCCCTTCCCTTTATATTTATGACAAGGGCATATATGCAACAATACAAAATCTCTTGTGAACAGTTTACACCAATGAAAGAAATGATTGCACTGTCATTGCTGATGTATGACAAAGCATTTTACTTCTGACAAAGACTGCGAGGATGAAATGTTGCCTTTTAGCGACTACCAGTAACAAACTAATTCAACTCAAAATATGGACATTGACTACTATGATTGAATGCATTCGAAATAAATGCCATAATATCATTTTTGTTTTTGCACTATATACAGTTTGGGCTACTTTGGGGCTGTTTTTAACCTGTCCCATTTTGTGTTTGAAACATCCGCCAACCCTCAATCGGGATATAAGTACCAGTACTGGGGTTTTGAATGTGAATTTGATTTTCCTCTCGCTTTGGTTTTAATGTGGCTGAACTCCTGCTGGGACTTGTAGCTTTTTTTTTTAAAAAATCACATCCGTATTAGGTATCTATCGAAATCTTTCCTTTGTTACTCGATGTGCTAGTAAAAAAAAAAGTGTTAATAAAAAAACCCTTTGTTTCAATAAATAGATTGGGCTACTTTGGGGTTCGTTTCGAAGTGACTTTGGGCTATTAATGCAGTAGAAATCTGGCAACGGCAGTAACGAGGCAGAGGCGGGCTACAGGCAGAGCTTGCGGGCTGGGCAGACCAGAGCCAAGAGCTGGGGCACTGCAGACCAGCTGCACCTGTGGGGAACAATATTGGTGCCGGGACCACGCCGCGGACAGGCCCGCATTTGTAAGCTGCCCGTAATAACTACTTGGAGGCCCAAGAGCGTCAATCCGGGCCTGGCCGTGACCAAGCAATGCGCTGCAAGGTGGGCCAGGAGTTGTAGTTTGCACACCGCTGCCTTCCACCGGGGCCCTTGGACCTGCGCTGAGGGTGACACCGCTAATCCCAGAACGCCCCGCACCATGCTGTGATCTCCCCAGTTGAAGTGGGTTGAAGGAAGCAGACCAGAAGAAAAGGAAATGGTTTAAGGAGAGGGTTCTCGCTGCTATCCCGCCCTGCGAACCTCACCATGGGGGCAGGGTAGGGTCTCCTGGTTTGGCCTCCCCCGCCCCCGAGTGTCCCCTACTCTCCTGGGGTGGAAGCAGTGCTGTGACTCCCGGCGTGGAGCCCCCAGTGACCCTGATGCCCAGGTGTGGGCTCCTGGGCACTGTCTTGGCCCTGCAGCTTCGCTCTGGGTGTGTGCATGTTTGTGTGTCCCCTCGGCCGCCATCTAGGGTGGTGTGGGGGAGGTTGGTTGTCTGTGGCCCACAGGGTCGGGGAGTGGGGCATGGTGACAGTGGGGCTGGCTGCTGCCCCCCGCCAGTGGGAATGCCCAATAATTCCCCCCGCCAGCACTCCGGGAGGGGAAGGGACAGAGCACGGTTTGGGGGAAAGGGGCAGTTGTGGGGCAAGTCCAGGTGCAGTGTGGGAGCTAGCAGTGACTCCATGTGTGGGGGTAGGAGAAGTGGGGTGTGAAAGTGGTGGTTGGTTGTGGGGGGCAGAGGGAGGGAGGGGAGAGTCTGGGTTGTAGGTGGGGGTCGGGGGACAGAAGGAAGGAGGGAGGGGAGAGTCTGGGTTCAAGGTGGTGTTCGCTCTGTGTGTGGGGGCAGTAGAAGTGAGGGAGGTGACAGCCCTGGAGTGAAAGTGGGGGCTGGGCAATAGCAGGGTAATTGAGGAGAACCCTTGTGTGAAGGTGGGAGTTGATTGTTGGTGCGGGACAGAAGGAGGGGCAGGGGAGGGGAAGAGCCCAGGGTGAAGTGTGCACGCGCGTGTGTGTCAGTGGCCCTTTCTCCCGACAAAAACCAGGCAGCAGCAAATTTCCTCCTCACACTCCAGCCTGGGAACTTAACTTCAAGTGAGCCAGTAATGAGAGATGGTGAGGAAAGGGAGAAAGAGGCGAAAGAAACTAAATTAAAGAAAAAAGTTTTTTTAAAAACGTTATTGTACCAAAGTAGAAAATCCATCTTTCAAAAAATGTATTTACGGAAGATAACTTCGGGTGGAGGAGGTGGTGGTGGGGACATGCAGGTGAAATTCCACTGACAGCTACATCCGGGCCTAATATGGCCAATAAATGTGCAGTTAAGCACTTGTTTTCAGGGCCCCAAGCAGGTCATGAGTTTTTAAACAAAAAAGAAAAAACTAACGAACAACACCCACCCACACACTAAATTCAAGAGTATTCTGGGTATAATGATGCTAGCCCAGTGTGTTCTCTAGGGGCTGAGTGGAAGTCTCAATCAAGTGTGGCTCCAAATATCTTATTTTGTTTTTGAATTAAGATTTTCATCCCCATCCACCAGTACTGGGTGTAGTATGGCACCAATGTGCAGACGGCACTGGGCCCACACTGGAAGGGGCTCACAGTGACTACATGGGGGCCCACAAATATGTTTGGCAGCAGCCCCACAAAAGGTTAATCCGGCCCTGATGGGGAACCAGGGCTGAGCTACTGCGGGGAGCTGCAGGGGCAGAGCCAAGATAGTGGATGCAGCCGCGCCACAAGTGACACGGCAGCCGAGCACGATGAGCAGCTGGGGAGAGCAAGGTGGGGCCATGCGCAGAGGGCCCAGCACAGGGAGACACCGCGAGACAGGAGGGCTTTGACGGCTGGACTCAGAAGGGGAGACGTGAGGGGGGGATACTGGGAGGGATGCTGGGAAGAAGGGTCCTGCCAGCTAGACCCTGAGGGAGTGTGGCCATTGACACAACAGATCCTTGCCAGCAGTATCACCGCAGTACTGCCAGCCCCTGGGAAGGAGGACTGGGACATGTCCGGAACAGACTGTGAACTTTCCTTACATCCCAGAGACAGCTGGTCGTGGTGTTTTGCGTGCCCATACGGCGGGTTCCTTGTTTCCCTTAATCTTTTACATTTGTTCCTTATTTTTCTTGCAGTTTCTGTTTAATAAATTGTAGGTGGTTTGACTGTAATACAGTGATCAGTGGGTCAGGGAAGCGGCTGGTGCGGAGAGAGTGCCCCAGAGTGTGGACACCCTAGCCCCTGTCCT